CATATATTTTATACCGCCTAGATATGTTTCCAAATGAGATAATTGCCTCTTCAACATAGCGGCATCTCTTTTTGGAAGAGAGTTCAGTTTCCCCGTCTTTTGCTCCGTTCTCAAGTCCCTGAACTTACGAAGTCTCGTTTCTGTAGTATACCAATTCGTTAACATACCTCCGAGCCATTTTTTATTAACATAATGACATCGAGCTCTTATTGCAGCCCGTCTTACTGAATAGGCAACTTTTCTTTTGGTACCAACAATTAAAAATTGTTTTCCTTTGCTTGCTGCATCAAAAGCCAAATCACAAGCTTCTGATAAAAAACGAGCAGTTTTAGTAAGATTTGTAATATGATTACCTTTACGTTTTGCCGATATAAAAGGTGCCATTCGAGGATTCCATTTCCTAGTCTCATGGCCAAAATGAACCCCAGCTTTCAGCATCTCTTCCAAAGTGATGTTCCAATATCTTTTTGTCATTTATCCCCACACTTTGTTTAAAAAAATGAAAAAAAAAAAAAAAAGAGAGACCGAGTATCCTAATAAATAATTGTTCCGATGGAACCTTCTCTTTTATAGACGATCGGCCGTTAATATAGAATCAGGCCATTCTTTGATTTCTATTTCTTATTATTTTTTAATATACTTTAATTACCAAATCCAATGACTGCATTTAAATATTTCAGGGGATGGATGAGTCGAATCCGCTGTTAGGAAGCATTTAATACTATATTTAATCCTATATTTCGAATGTATCACATAAATTCTCTGAAATGAGAAAAATTAAATAATTTTCTGTGATGGAACAAAAGATTTCCAATTTCGACTTCGAATAATTTTTTTTTCCGGCTAATCTTGTTATGTTGCCTTGACCGTGAACGGTGCATTATTCTTTTGAATCCGGTACCAACGGGTATCATTCCCCCTAAAACAACATTCTCTTTAAGACCTTTCAACCAATCAATACGACCCCGAAGAGCGGCTTTTGCTAAAACTCTAGCAGTTTCTTGAAAACTCGCTTCGGATATGAAACTTTGAGTATTCAGAGATGTTTTTGTTACTCCCAATAATAAAGCTCGGTAACAAATGGCTTCTTCCAAGGCACGCCCCGTTCGTTCTGCTCGCAATAATCCAATTAGTTCGCCAGGTAAAAATACATTAGACATTCCATCTTCTGAAACCAAGACTTTGGATGTTATTTGACGCACAATAATCTCGATATGTCTATTATCGATGTGTACTCCCTGGGATCGATAAACCTTTTGGATTTTATTAACCAAAGAAATACGACTTTGAGCTATAGTTAGCTCAGCACCAATCAAGAATCCCCAAGGAATGCCGAGAATTTTTGTTATACACTCGTTCCAAGCATCAATTCTTTTTTTTAGATTCATGGATATTGAAGCAATCGAACGTATTTCGAATATCTGTTCCACTTTTGGAAGACCTTGTGTTATATCACTGGATCTCGATTTTTCATATAGGAATGTAACTAAAATATCTCCTTGAGAAAGGATCTCCCCATAATGGCCGTGAATAGTTGATTCTGGAGTCGCCAAATAAGGATTAGCCGATCTTATTATTACAGAATCCATTTGAACTGTTATAACTTGACCCGATTTTAATTTTAGGTGTGGTCCATTTTTCATTTGAGCTATACATATATTTTCACAAATAAATTGTCCAAGACTTATTATTGGAAACGTTTTTTCACAAGAAAAATAATGGAGAAAAAACCAATTTAAATGGAATGGATTCAAAACGATATTACTGTATAGATCGGGTTTACAAATTTTCTCATTTTCGTCCATGAAATAATATTTCATTACTTGAAAAATTTCCTTTAATTTGTCAAGTTGCAAAATTTTTATTATTGAGATCTGATTATGAGTTATTAAATGATAAAGTGAATATAAATTTGCAACTATTCCTAAAGGGCCGAACGAATTATTATTCTTCTTAATTGAAATTATAGGATCTTTTTTTATCCCATTGTGAGATTTTACATTGTTGAATGGTCTCATTTGAAAACAATTAGATGATGACAAAATTATCCAAGATCGGCATTCTTTATTTCTATTCAACAACATACGAATAGTTCCGTGATTTTGGCTAAGTGATTGTTGAATTTTTCCCTTGGAATGAATAGAAAAAAATGGATTGATTCGATCCGATTTATTATCCCCAATCAATCCTAAACCAGATGGGTCATTTCTTTTTCTGATATATGAAGTATTCGATTTTACTAAGTCAATTCTTAGAAAATACTCAATCAAACCATTTGTACTTACTTCAATAAAGGAAGCGGGGGCCTCCTCAATCGAAGAACTTTTTTTGCCGTCATCCCAATGGAAGACTAAACAAGTCCGAAGGAATGGAATCCTTGTGTCGGAAATTTCCCGAATGGATTTTCCAATAGAATTGACAACTTTTAGTTCCAGATTATCCTTTTCCTGGAATAGATCTTGGGGAAAAAGTTTTACAAAAGGGATAGTGTCCGGTATTTCATATAAAATTACAGGTCGAACCAAAACAATTTTTTTTTTTTCTTTTTTTTTTTTGTAGTTGCGATCCATTGGACATAGATCCCATCTTTAATTTTTTTTGATTCCTTGCATTTTTTTTTTTTACCGTTCCGGGTGGTATAAAGATGGGACTGTGTCTTGATATCTTATCAATCTCTCTGGGAAAATGGATATTTCCAGAAAATATTTTTAATTCTATTTTTTTTTTTTTTCTTTTCTAATCGGACCAATCCGCCTACTCGACTTCTTATATTGAAAGTGATTGGTGTTCCTCTTCCAACAAGACTATTATTCCGTACCATTAGGGAAGAAGATTGGGGTAAAATATGCACTTCTTCGGGAATCAAAAAAAAGGGACCTACTTGAATTGGATAGTTTGGCTTTAATTTTTTTCTTCCTCGATACTCAATGAAATCTTCTTTTTGAAAAATGGGTTGAGGATGATCGAAATAAGCAAAAATACTATTTCTAGGAAAAATACCATTGATAGGTATTTCAATGGAGACACCGGAAGGGGACATTAGTTCGTTCTTTCGTTCTTGAATCGATTGGAATGGAAATGGAATAAGAAATCGATTTCTTCGCCTTTTCGCCAAGAAATAAAAAGTATCGTGAAAAATAGCGGGATACATTAAATAAGAATGATCCATATATATGATTGGATTAAATATTGAATAATCGCTGATCCCCTTTTCTTTTGTACCAAAAGTATGGAAACCAAAGAATTTATGTTTTACTTGATTATTCCTTTCTACAAGATTCGAAATATTTTTTTTTCCATTCGAAAGTGAATCCATGGTAATTTGATCTTGATCCTTGTGAAGTAAAAAATGGGTTGTATTAGACCTGCACGACTTTCCTGACAATATCCATAAATGACTTGTTTTTGGTAAGATATGTACATTACTATCCATAAATTCTGATGCATGGTACACATCGGTACTCCAATGCATTTCCCCTTCTGAGTCAGAATAAATATGTTTTCGAACCCTCTCTTTCAAATTAAAAGTATATGTTCCCGCGAGGATCTCCGCAATCACTTGTTCTGATTTTACATATTGATCATTTTTAACTAATAGAAAACTTTTTGGTGGAATAATGACGTTATGTATAATATCGTAACTTTCTATAGTTACATACAAGTCTATATTACATATAAAAGCAGGATATCCATGACGTGTACGTGTAGGGTGAACTAAATCCTCATTCCATTTTATCTTTCCATTCGAGGGGGCTCGCACATATTCAGCAGTACCCCCTGTGAATACTCCACCAGTATGAAAAGTTCTTAATGTTAGTTGAGTTCCCGGTTCTCCAATAGATTGACCAGCAATAATGCCTACAGCTTCTCCCAATTCTACCAGGTCCCCATGAATAGGACTCCGCCCATAACACAATCGGCAGATCCACGACGTATTCCTACAGGTAAAGGGGGTTCGAATAAATATGGGTTGTGTTTGAAAAGTTATGAATCGATTGATAAGTCCAATTCCAATATCTTGATTTCTAACGACAATGCACCGTGAACCTATATATATATATTGTCTGCTACTACACGACCATTTAATGTTTGTATCAAAATTCTTTCTGGCATCATTCCATTTCGGATGTTTACAGAAATCCCACGGATGGTACCGCAATCTGTTCGCCGTACAACAATGTGTTGAACCACTTCAACAAGTCGACGTGTAAGATATCCAGCATCTGATGTTCGTACAGCAGTATCTACAACCCCTTTACGGGCTCCGTAGCAAGAAATTATATATTCTGTTAAAGACAGTCCTTCACGAAAATTGCTTTGAATGGGTAAATCAATCATTTGTCCTGGTGGATCTGACATTAATCCTCTCATTCCGACTAATTGGTGTACTTGAGATGCATTTCCTCTAGCTCCTGAAAAAGACATTATATGGACTGGATTAAAGGGGTCAGTCATCCTAAAATTGGGAGTCATTTGTTGTCGCAAATATTCGCTTGTAGCATACCATATTTCAATGGATTGGCGTAATTTTTCTACCGCATGGACATTCCCATAATGATTATGTTTTTCCAAAACGGAACTTTGTTGTTCAGCATCTTGGACTAGCCATCCTTTAGAAGGTATTGTTAAAAGATCATCAATTCCTAATGAAATAGATGTAGCAGTAGCTTGATGGAATCCTAGAGTCTTTACTTGATCCAGGATGTGTGATGTATATGCCATTCCGAAATGATCTATTAATCTGCTAATAAGTCGTTTAATGGCAGTTCCACCTATCACGTTATTGTGAAAGACTAGATTGGTCCCTTCTGCCATAAGTCCCTCCATATTCCACTCAGTGGTATTCGGTTCGACGACAATAGATTTGAGTGAATGATTGGAAAACTCCCTTTTCTTTATGTTTATTTACGTAGAAAATTGAAAAGATGCTAGTTGACCTGAATTTACACCAGTATCCTAAATTTACTTAGCGTGGATACCAACACTAACCATCTATATGATTAGATACTATATGATGAATCGGCTCGAGAAAAACCTTGTATAGCTTCTTCGATTTCTCGATAAAAAGAAATATGACCAATAGTGGTTCGAATGTATATACAACGAATTTCTTTTTTTATACTTCTTATTACTAAATAATCCTCATAAATCTCATAATAGGTACCAAAAGATTCATAGTGAACTTCGATAGGAACTTCTCTTGAAGACATAATGCATTGATGTATTTGCCACCGGAGCCAAAAAGGACTATCCAAATTTATTCTTTTCTGTCTATAAGCTCCAATTGCATCATAGGAATTGCAAAAACAGGGTTCTTTTTTTTTCATATACTTCAAGTTCTTAAAGTTATTATTGCTCATTTTTTCATTTTGAGAATTTCTGCAATTAAACCAATTATACCTGTTTGCACAAATACCTCGACGATTTCCGCTAGTTAATACATAAAGTCCAATAAGCATATCTTGAGTTGGTACAGAAATAGGATCCCCAATAGTCGGAGACAAGAGATTCGTAGTAGAAAACATAAGTAAATGAGCTTCTGCTTGAGCCTCCAAAGATAAAGGCACATGAACAGCCATTTGATCCCCATCAAAGTCTGCGTTGAATCCCTTACACACCAATGGATGTAAACAAATAGCACGTCCTTCTACTAAAATGGGTTGAAATGCCTGTATGCCCAATCTATGCAAAGTAGGCGCTCTATTCAGCAATACTGGATGTCCCCGCATAACTTCGTGAAGTATTTCCCATATAATTGGTTCTTTTTCCCGGATTTGACTCTTAGCAACTCCTATGTTCGAAGCAATATGGTTTCGAATTAAACCACGAATTAGAAATGTCTGAAATAGCTCTATTGCTATTTCGGGGGGCAATCCACATCGATGTAATGAAAGTAATGGACCTACGACAATAACAGAACGCCCCGAATAATCAACTCGTTTTCCAAGAAGAGTCTCTCGAAATCTTCCCTCTTTGCCCGAAATTATATCGGAAAACGATTTGTAAACTTTCTTATGACCGTCCCTCATCGGTTGTCCGCGGATTCCATTATCAAGAAGTGCATCCACGGCTTCTTGTACCAATTTTTCTTGAGACATTACTAATTCCGCTGGTGTAAATCCACTTGTTCTTAATAGCTCAATAAGAGTATTGTTCCGAAAGATAACTATTTTATAGAGTTTATTAATATCCGAACTCATTAGTTTACCGCCATCTATTTGAATAATTGGTCTCAATTCGGGAGGAAGAACTGGTAAGAGACATAAAACCATCCATTCTGGTTCTATATTTGTTAGGAGAAAATGCTTAGCTAATCCCATGCGTCGAACCAAAAAATTCTTTCTTCTTCGAACTTTTTGATTTTTCCATTTGTCATTGGACCCCTCTTTTCCTAATTCTTTCCATTCTAGCAACGAAGAATCCATAATAATTCTTAAATCCAGATCAACTAATTGTTGTCGTATAGCACCCGCTCCACTAGAAATTTCTCTATTTCGAAATGTATCGAAACCTTGAGTATCAAAAAAGAGTGGGATACTGTCTTTCCAGGATTGGATTTCATATTCGAATGAACCTCGTAATCGTAAGAAAGTTGGTTTTTTAACTACGGGCCTAGCAAAAGAAAAATTTGGATAGGATCCAATAAGATGGATCGCCCCCTTTAAAATCGGACATGAGGGTTTCCTCTCATCCGGCTAAAGTATTTGCACACAATTAAAGATAAAGAAAGGGGTTTCCGCTTTCCAATTTTGGAAAACCTCTAATCTAAAATCAAAAAGGTTTACTCTTTACTCAAGTTATCAATAAAGACCAAGCAACATTTCATTGATACATTCTTCTTTTTTTTCTGAATTTTTTATCCAATTCGAAATTAAGACAGAAATAAAATGTAAAATTCTTGAGTAGTCTACCTCCCTTCGAACGAGGAATCCTCTAAAATGAAATTCTTAATAAAAAAGGAATATCCTCGAATTCATAAGAGATTTCTTTGTCTATGTATCATACCGTTCGATCTTTTAGGTCAAGACGTCACCTCGACGGGTCTGCCACGATGTCTTAAAGCCTATATGCGATAGATAAACTTCTGCAATCATGATATATTTTATTCTTTGAACATAATTTGAGTTCTTTAAAAAAAAAAAAAGAGATGGAATAATGAATTCCACAAAAAAGTATTTTTTTTTTTCACAAGGTACATACAGTAAATAGTTATTTGTTACTGAATTGACCATAGACCAATTCCCTTTTTGATTGGGGAGTATTCAATACACCCATGAATTCTGAGCTTCATGTTACTCATCCCAAGAGACATGCCAGATATAGGACATTCCCATTTAATTGACTGGAATGACAGTTTATCATTCGAAATCTGTACAATAAGAATTTTTATCAAATCACACATCGCGGTATACTAGATTCTCTAATTCTTTAAGAGGTTTATCTAAAAGGCTCGCGATATAACTAGGAAGACGTTTCAAATACCACACATGGGTTACAGGA